ATTTAGCCTCTGTTTCCTCGTTTATAAATCAAGAAGAATCCAATCCTAGAGAAAATCCAGTCTCGGATTTGTCTAGATGTTAGCAAAATGATTCTACAAGTCCCAAGTAGACATCAGTAGATACCATGAGAAAGAGACCCAGTGAGAGCAGGGACAGGGGCATCCCGTCAGCAGATCCGGAAGCAGATGTCAAGGCAAGTCCTCCACCCGCTGAGACACAGGGACAAGGAGAGGAAGACGCAGCAACGGAACAGAGGCCAGAGAACATTGTAATATTATATAAGAATTTAACATCTAAGGGAATCAGCAGCCCTGTGGGCAAAGCAAGGATTCTTTCATAACTATCTGTTTCATAACAGTGGGAAGAAACGGTACTCTTTCTTCAATTCCACTCCCCAACCCTGGATGGAAAATTTAAATAAATCGAAAAACAAAACCACAGAAAAAATCACCAGGAAACAGAATTGAGCACATTTAAGGAATAAAACAAAGCAATAATTTTCAAACTGGCACACATTATCCATTCGAAACTTAAAATTGGATGTACAAAATAGCAGACAGAATCATCCCAGCAAGAGACAAACTGCCCATCTGTGCTGACACCCACCCTAGTCTCCACCTTGTCCTGTATCACCCGGGACTGCGTTCCCAAGGATGCCTGGTCAAGTAGCAACCAGTGGTGCTAGCAGCCAGGCCCTGGGGACAGGGAAGCCAGCGTCTGTCTCGTGGTTGCAACGGTACCCACCAGGATGCCAGCCTCTGCCCTGGTAGAGCCTTCCTGCAGAGAGCCCTGGTTTCTGAGCTTCACTCACCCCACTCCCTCCCTAGGGCTCTGCCTAATCCCCTGGAGCTGTTTGTTTTCATGCCCAAGGATCCTGGGGGGCACCCACCCGCCCCCCTGGATCATCATCTCATGTCTTTCAGAGGCTTCACACAAGTCCCCAGAGCCCTAGGGTGCCTGGGAATTCATGGGCCCCACCCATTGCTTAGAGCCCCTCTACCCAGTGACTGTGAATGCAGAAATATCAATATTTGAGGTTTCCAGCATAGGGACACCTCTGTGTCACCCAGACCTTCCTTGAAAAACCAAAGCTGTCCCTGTGAAACCACTTATTTTCCTCCCTTTGCAGTCCCACTTCCTTAGTGGCTCTGCCAGTGATCACTTCCTAAAACACTTGAACAGGACTGTTTTTCCCACAGCCTGTCCCTCACACAGTAACCCTGAGACAGGGCGCTCGGATCCCCCCCTCCAGGGCCTCACCATCCCCAGGTTGGGGCCTCCATTCTTTCGTCACCAGGGCCAACCACTCCTTCTTTCTCAAACAGCTGTCAGTGACTTCTGACCAGCAGAATAGTTAATATTAGTTAATAGAGTTAACAGGTAAAAAGAGGTACGGTCTCTTCTAGGAATGTTGGCGAAGATGCCCACATTCTCTACCTATTGAAAAGTAGAAGTAGTGAAGACAGAAAAGCGTTAACTCACACTAGATTATTTTATTTAATCCACAAAGCATAAATGAGCACCTACTATGTACCAGGCACTCAGGCTGTGTGAGTAAAACTACTTAAGGAGGAAGATAGATAAGTTATTGCCCACTCTGATAAGAATGGAAACTGAGTAGCTGATCTCCAGCTGACCTACATCCTGTAAGCTAACCAGTTCCAGACTATGGGTAATCCTTTTAATTATGTAGAAATTAAGAAAGTAAGGAGATATGTTACCTAGTACACACACTGCATCATGGGTAACGCGGTAATGATATGTAAAGAGGAAATAAATTTAGTCCCAACATTAAACAGAAAAATCACTGTCTCTACCTTCCTGGAGCAGGAGTCCACATTAATGAAGAAGTGAAGATAGTTACCAGGAATTTTTTTCTCCCCTTGATACTGAGAATTAAACCCAGGGCCTTGCACATGCTGAGCACACGCTCTGCCACTGAGTTATGGCCCCTGCCCCAGCAGGAATATTGTTACAACACTAAACCCACGTTAGCAACCTGCGGTGGCACTTATGCATAATGGATCACCTGCAAATTCTGTCCGATCGTTTGGAAGATCATTTATCCATAAGACATGGATGCAGAATGATACACGTGTTCAAATTCTCTTATGGAAATTTTGTTTGAATAAATGGTTTTCTGATGACAACATCAATGACTAAGAATAGGCAAATGACTAGGTACTTGATGATTTTTCCAATGGACAGAAAAGTATGTGCCCATTGAAATTCAAATTTGAGGAAGACTACATAACAACATTGAAGGATAATCGGAGCAGGAAAAATGATGCAATGGGTATAATTAGAATTAGCACCATGTGAAATATGAAGCGTGAATGAGGATCGGGTGAGAAGACGGGGGAAAGACATATCATTAGTGGGAATATGGAAGAATATTTCTTTCTCTGTTAATTCAATATTTAATGATAACACGTTCTAAGATAAATCAGCATTTAATAACAACTGTAAAGCGAGGTGTTCATGCCAACTCAGTGGCTCTTTGCTGCTATTATTTGGATCTGAGGTGTTTTCCAAAGTCCCATGTATTAAAGGCTTGGTTCCCACATTGGCACTATTGGGAAGTCATGGAAACCTTGAGAAATGAGATCTGGTGGAAGGTGTTTAGGTCATTAAGGTCATGCCCTTGAAAAGGAGAGTGGGACCCCCAACCCCCTTCTCTTCCTTTTTTTCTATGTCCTGATCATAAGGTTTTGCCAGGCATTGCCACTGTGATGTATTGCCTCAACCCAGGCCCAAAAGCCATAAGGTCAACTAATCCTGGACTGATACTTCCAAAGCGTTGGGCCAAAATAAACCTTTCCTCTTTATAACTTATTACCTCAGGTATTTGTTACAGTCACAGAAAGCTGACTAACACACCTACACTTTAGAAATCTCCTGAAAAACTAATTAAATATACTAAGACTGGACCCACCTCCAGAAATTTTCATTCCATTGGTCTATGGTAGAATATTTACACCAGTGATAAAATCAAACAAAGCAAATAAAATCAAACAAAATAAGACAAAGACAAATGCTTTAGACAATCATAACCTAAAGCTGCTATGGAGCTACATGATCCCTTCCTGTTTTTTAGCATGCCTGCTGTACCAACAGGACACTGAAGCCAGAAAGGGTCCTGACCTGCCCCAAATCACACAGTTAGTTTGCCTGACACAAGAAACCAGGGTCCCTAACTCACAATGCTTTTTCCATTGCACTATTAGACTGGATCACCTGGGATTTTCCTCTCCTCGTCACTTCGTTGTCCAAGGAAGGAGGAGGGTGAGCTGAGGAAAATGGCACCCTTGTTTAGAGTCTCCTCCTCACTCTACCACCACCCACTTCCTTCCCTGGGAATTTCCACCCAGACTGAAGCAACTCTTGCCCCACCCTCCCCACCTACCCCCATCCCTCTTCCACCACATCCTCTAAGCACATGAACTAGGGAACAAAGGATTTGGTGTCCAAACCAGGAGTCCCAAGGCCTGGAAACCATACCTGATGGCATCTGTGTGGTTGACTGTGGTGTTCGGAGGGATGACAGCTGTTGGCATGGGTAGGGATTGGACCACAGTTCTGGAGCTGGTATAGAACGTTCTCAGGGTCTTCGTGGTAGGAAGGGTGGTAGGACGGATGGTAGTAGGAGCCAATTTAGGGGTAGAATTCTTGTCAGAGGTACGCTTAGTTGAAGGATCTGCAAGAGGCACATTGGATGGATGGATAGATGGATAGATGGATGAATGGATGGATGAATAGGTGGCAAGTAGATGGAGCCACAGAGGGAGATGAAAGTGACCTTTCAAGAAGCAAGGTTTTCCTTTGCCAAAACCAAAAATGTAATATAAGGTTAGCCTCAGTCAGAGATAGGAAGGAGGAAGAGAGAAATTGAGGAAGCAAGGGAAAGGAAGGGAGAGGGAGAAAGGAGCTCTCAGGGTATCTGGGTTATTGGAAATGTACGTGCCTGCTCTTCTTTACTTATCTATATGCCCCTCCTTTTTCCAAGAATAATTCCCTTGTTATTCTATCTTATCCCATTCACTCTGCTTCTTATAAGTACATATTACTTTAAAAGTTCTCTTGTGGGCTGGGGCTGTGGCTTAGTGGTAGAGCGCTTGCCTGGCATGTGTGAGGCACTGGGTTGGATTCTCAGCACCGCATACAAATAAATAAAAATAAGGATCCATTGACAACTTAAAAGAATAAGTTACCTTGTATTAATCCACTGCATATGTGCCATGACTTAGGCTTAGAATCCCCTAGTGCTAGGAACTTCAACCTGTCTGCCTTTCCTCTGTCTTCCTTAGTTCATGTAATATTAGTTGCTGGGGACAGAGAGCCTAACAAGGCATAGGCCCTTTCTCAAGGAGTTTGGAGATTGATAAGGGAGACAGATAAGTAAACCAGTCACTACTCCCCCGTGAGATCATATTGTCCACAGAAGGACCCCGAATGAGCCTGGAGACATCTTCCCGACAAGTGGGAGTCACCTTGGGCCTACCAAGTCAGGATCTGTATTTAAAATGAGACCCCCACGCAGCTGACACTCCCTGGGAGGTCTGGGGTGCACTGTCTTAAAAGCATCTCATGCATTCTTGGGAGGAGGACAGGGAAGTCACAGGAGGCTTCCCAAGGATATGCCTTCTAAGTGGAGACTTGAGATAGGGGAGTAAATTCTCCCATATCTACTGCTCACCTTTTATAGCACCCCACTTCCCATAACTGTACCCTAAATTAGGCTCTGCAACCCAAAGGGAATCCATGCTTAGAAGCCCCTGCTTGCTGTGTGTGAAATGCTTGTTTAGGGCCTCACAGAGCAGACAAGGAGCTTCTGGGAGAAAGCTGGCTGGCTAGGACTCCTGAGCTCTGCTGGTGACACCACCACATCCATCCACTCCCAGGTCACTCACCAGCGGTCACCACCAGGCGGACAGGATGGAACAGGAGGACAGGCTCCTTGGGAGGAGGAAAGTAGACCACACACCGATACAGTCCTGAGTCCTCCACTTGAAGGTTGATCATTCGGACCTGAAACATGGACTCCGGAGGGTCATCTCTGAGAAGGTACCTCCCCACCTGGATTTGATTGAGTGTCCCCTGAGATCTTTCTGTGACAGCCAGTGTCTGGGGCTCCTCCCCATTCCTCAACCTCTGCCAAGCCTTCCGGTTGTAGGCATACTTCATGTTGGAGGGACAGTCCACTGTCAGGGTCTCCCCCTCTTGTAGGACATACTTTTCCTCTTTTGACTGAGCAGCAGCTTGGAGTCCTATAAGCAGGAAAACACAGTTAGTCTCTGTCATGAAGAGTTGGGAAAGAAAAGGAGAGGAGCCAGCTCGTTTTCTTGTCTAACCACCCATTTTTCAGATGAGGTCCTTGAGGCCTCTGGAGAAGAGGCATCTTTCTTTTTAAGCCACACTGGACACTAATCTCTCCACCACAAAGTATTGGGTTTTGTTTTTTACGACAAGAGCCACACTGAGCAGAGTCCATGAAAATCTAATTTGATAAATGATCCTTTTGAGAGGAAGTAAGTGCCTGATGGGGGACAGAACAAGGGATGCTGCACAGAGATCATGGTGGCTGAGGCATGGCAGAGGGTATAGAGAGGGGCATGGGGTGAAGAGAGGCGAGGAAGACATGATACCAGCAGAGAGCCATTCTCCAGGAAGCTTGAGGACTTCAGCTAAGTCAGGGGAAAGAGATCAAAGAGACCACTGAACAAACAGTGAGGAGGCTATTCTGAGGACACGGTGGACAGGGGACCCGACAGTTCCCTCCCGCGCTCTTCCTTCCTTGGGTAGCCCCTCTTCAGTGGCTTACCCATGGGCCCGCCCACGTTCTCAAGCACAGCCCCACCAACCGGCCAATTAAAAGTTCCCCCTTGCCCTGGCCACACTGATTGGTCATCAGCTGAGCCAATCAGAATCCTCCCGGGCGCATGTCATCAGTTGAGCCAATCAGAATCCTCCCGAGACTGCTACGGCTATTCAGAGGGTAAAAAACGTGTCTTCGGGCTGGGGCTGGGAATGCGGTTGTGGACTCCCCCGCAGCCGTCTTTCTACCGCGTGGAAACGGCTGCCCGAGAATGAGGCCGGAGGCCGAGGGAGCGAGCCGACGGTGTTACCTGTCCAAAACCGCACCCCTGGGCTCCCCCAGTACCCCAGCCGAGAGACCCCTCCTCCTGTTTTTGACAAGGAGACACAGCGTTGTGCCTCCACTGGGGACAAGTCCTCCTCCCTCCCCCAGGGTCACTGAGCAATGTCCGGAGACACTGCTGTTGTTATAACCGGGGATGGAGGTGGATGCTGCTGGCATCTAATAAGTACAGAAAAGCAAGAGTGGCCAAAATATCAGGAGTGCTGATTTTGAGAACCCCGCGTTTACAGGGACAGGAAGAGTGATTTTTCTGCTCTAGTCCAAGCAGGGCTTGCCGATGGAGGTGCAGAAGATCCTGTCTCTGCTTCCAAGGGGACACTCGGGGCTCTGTGGTTCACTAAGGGACCACAGTGTGTCCACTCAGGCCTGGAGACACCTTGCTCCAAGGAACACCAGGAACAGGTTGGACAGTAATGCCGGGGCAAACCGTGGGTCAGGCCACCCCTACCTGCAATCACCATCGCTGTTCTCAACACCATGACTGCACCTTCGGGCACTTTTATCCTCCGTGGTAGTTCAGGAGTGCCCCCGTGAACAACGCCAAGAGTTGTCCCTTCAGTGAAGTGCCTACCTTCCCTGTTGGCCAGGCCAGGCTCCCGAGGCCCTGCCTATCTCAACCTGACCTTAGGAAGACCCTCCTCAGGGGCTCCTGGGGCTTTGAAGGTGAAGCAGAGCTTGAAGGCCAATTCACTTCTAAGGAAACCTTTCGAAGGTTTTCCCATGCAATGTCTATGCACCCAGGCCAGGAGCACCCCCCACAAAAGATGATGAACAGAGGTGGAGAGATATTGTAAACCAAGTTTAGTTCCTCATTTATAGAACTATGGCTGAAAGCCTTCTCTGAGCCAGAAACTGTGCTGGACTTTGTGAAAGACACACCGACTCCAACTTCTGGTTGCCACCAAGGAAGACCTAACTTCCCACATTAATGTTACAGATGGATTTCCACTCTTTTTAGAAACTTGACCACCTCTTGCGAAAGAAGACAGAAATATATGCTCAAAAGCAGTCTGTACCCCATCACAAGAAAGGAAACCCTTTCAACACACTAATAAAAAAAATACTAATAATAATAATTACCATCTGCCAAGCATTATATGCTAAATGCATTATCTTACTTAATTTTCATCACTTATAAGGTTGCCACTGTTATTCCTATTTTATGGATAAGGAAACTGAGGGACAGAGAAGCTAAGTGACTTGCCCAAGGTCCCACAGCAATAAGGGATGGAGTCAGCATTCAAACCTAGAGAGTCAGCGCAGTGTGTGCTAAACCTCTGAGCTACATTGCCCAACACTGTAGTCTGATTGGAGTTAGAACATCCCCACCCAAGGATGAATGGGCATCTAGCTGGGATGGGCTTTGGGGTGAACCCTTAACCTATCCCTGTAGGGTATAATGAAATATACAGCTCTGGTTTTTTTCTCTCACAAGTACCTAACCTTCAATCCTCTGCTTCTCCCAGTTGTCCTTCAGAAAAACATAAGTAAAATAAAAGCAAATGCACTGGTTCATGAGAAACCAGTTCCTATTTGCCTCGGTGACAGCCCCAGCTCCAAGGAGATCCAAAGCAAGCACTGCCAGGTAGCTGCCCTTGACCCTGCTCAATAGGTCCCAGAGACAGCCACTCCCTGGGCTTCCATCTCTTCCCAAGGCAAAACTTGTTTTTAAAGTCTTGTCATTTCCCCTCTCTTATTCGGGTTGATTAGGAGGAAGAACCAGCAACGCCCCAAATGCTCTGCAGATTGTAAGAGACCCGTAGGGCTGGGGATGGATCAGCTCTGCTGAGCCTGCCCAACAGGGCCCTCCAGCCCCAACACACAAAAGAAAGTAGGGATCCTAACCTCCTGGAGAACGGGCTCCAGGCTGCTTCTGTTCCCACCTGTGTCTTTAGCAGTAGCAGATTTGCTGGTTCACAGTAGGCCCCAGGAAATACTTGTTAAATATATGGTATCTTTTGAGTTAACAGATGTCCACATTAAAAGCACCATGATGGAACACATAAAGTCCAATTTTTCTGTATAATTTTTTAAAAGTACTAATTTAAAAAAGAGAAAAATGCTTTTCAAAATCAGACAAAATTATTTCTGATCATACCCGAGTTAGATTTCCTCTATCATTATTTTCATCTAGGGTTTTTCTGTCTTTGACATCCAAATGCAAAATGCACAGGGAGGCTGGGGACATACCTCAGTGGGAGAGCACAGATGCCCTAGCATGCATGAGGACCTGGGTTCGCTCCCCAGGACTGCCAAAAAAAAAAAAAAAATCAGAGACATCTTTCTTCCCTAATTCCACCCTTCTTTGATTTATGTACTCAGACCTGTGCGTTCTCCTGGTCCTGCAGACCTTGGGTAGAGAAGCTCAGACTACTTTAACTGCTGGTTGGCTTTGTCTTGGGTGGCCAGGTGCTCTGGTGCTTCAAAAAGAGAAGGTCTCCTGGGGTCCAAACCACAGGTCTCACCTGCTTGCACCTCTCCCTTGCCTTACCTGAAAAAAACAGCGTCCACAGTAGCCCCCAAAGCATCATCCTTCAGGGATTCCAGCTCCAACTGCCCCTGTGGGCTCCTGCGTCAGTTATAAGGCACCACCCTGACACAGTGGCTCCGGAAAGTTGCTCAACAGGACATGAGGCCATTCCTGGAAGGTTCCGGGTCAAATGCTTTGTTCCATCACTGTTGACTCTGGTTGCATACGTCAATGAGGAATCCAGAGACCACGGCCCAAGATTCAATTAAGCTTCTTTGAACCTCAATTTCCTCTTCTCTAAGACCCTTCTCAGCCTCACAAAATTTAAGTGAGCTGGGAGCCGTGGCACATGCCTATAATTCCAGTGACATGGGAGGCTGAGGCAGGAAGATCACAAGCTGGAGGCCAGTCTCAGCAACTTAATCAAGCCCTTTGTAACTCTTAGCAAGACCCTGCTTCAAAATAAAAAATAAAAAGAGATGGGGATAAAATGATAAAGTGCCCTAGGTTCAATCCCCAGTACCCCCCTGCAAAAAATTGTGCGAATATTGTGGTCAATTATAATTGCTGCCTCGACATCCATTTTAACTACAGTTTTCACTTTCTCAATCCAGCTGCAGGCTCTAGTCACCTCTGACACTGTGTCCAGTTCCTCAAAGCGGTGGATCCAGATATCTGACTCATACAACTTCCTCCTAGTGACTTTCTTCCTTGGGACAGCCGAACACAGTCCACTTCACTGGGCCCACTGAACTGTGCAGATATGTCACTGTTACCACCACTTGATCACAGTGTGACCTCCCAGGACTCAGGCCTGCTTGCTTTAAATGGCAGCAGTTACAATTCCCTGAGTGAGGGGCTGGGGGTGTGGCTCAGTAGTAGAGTGCTTGCCTAGCATGCGTGAGGCACTGGGTTCCATCCTCAGCACCACATAAAAATGAGATAAAGATATTGCGTCCACCTCCAACTAAAACATAAATATTTTTTTAAAAAATCTCTGAGAAAGGAAATTGTATGGAAATGGAAGGAGACCCTCAATGTTACACAAAATTACATATAAGAGGTTGTGAGGGGAAAGGGGGAGAAAAAAACAAGGGAGAGAATTGAACAACAGCTGATGGGGTAGAGAGGGAAGATGGGAGGGAAGGAGAGGGGGGATAGTAGGGGATAGGAAAGGTAGCAGAATACAACAGTTACTAATATGGCAGTATGTAAAAATGTGGATGTGTAACCCATGTGATTCTGCAATTTGTATTTGGGGTAAAAATGGGAGTTCATAACCCACTTGAATCAAATGTATGAAGGATGATACGTCATGAGCTTTGTAATGTTTTGAACAACCAATAAAAAAAATTGAAAAATTAAAAATTAAAATAAAAAATCTCTGAGTGAAACCTGCCCAAGACCCCTAAAGGTGTTGGTCCTCGAGTCGTGGTCTCTCTCCATTCACTCCTTGGACTGCATGTGGGAGGCCTCTGGGCATGCCCCATACCCACCGGGACCTGTAAGTAAGAAAATCTCTATTTCCATCTGTGTGTCTGCTAATCATTGAGGGGGTGTTCTTCACCTTGAAGGTTCTCAGTCAAGAACTATTGGCAGGGCTGGGGATGTGGCTCAAGCAGTAGGGTGCTTGCCTGGCATGCGTGCGGCCCAGGTTCGATCCTCAGCACCACATACAAACAAAGATGTTGTGTCCGCCGAGAACTAAAAGATAAATATTAAAAATTCTCTCTCACTTAAAAAAAAAAAAAAAGAACTATTGGCAAGACGGAGAGTGCTTCTGCGGATTCACTAGGACCACAGAGCTGCTGAGGTTATTAACATCCACCAGGGGAGGCGGTGCTGTTCCCTGTAGTTCAACTGACCCCCTCTGCTGCCTTCACCTCTGTAGAGTGCCCCTGGGCTAAAATGTTAGTGACAGTGATAATGCTCTGTCGTGTTCCTCACGACTAAAACACTCAGGCTCGCTCCAGGGGAACTGGGCTGCATAAAATAACCCCCAAATAGACAGAGATATCTTTTTCTTTGGGGTCCTGTAACAGCTCCTCAGACCTTAAGGGTCCACAGAGAGAGAGAGAGCGAGCGCACATGCTGACTCCTTTTATTGAGGAGAAACCATTCAAATGAGGCCGGGGTCAAGTTTCAAAGTGCTGAGTCTAGCTTCATGATGTCCACTGTCAGCAGGTTGACTGACATCTAGGAAGGCCACACCCAAGGGCAGATGTTTCCATGGAACATTCTATCTCAAACAGGGCAAAGGGGTGGTATCACAAAGGAACAGGTGAGCATAGCTCCATCCATGGGGTGACACGCCTACGTCTGAAGACGCATCCTCAGCCTCTGGGACCTGGGCAATGTCCAGGTCACTAGAGATGTAGTGACGCTCAGAGCCTCTCCACTCCGGGACGGAGACTATGAGTCATTCAGAGGGGCCTCCCCAAAATGCTCCCCAAAGTGATCAGGCCCACCCCAAGAGGGACTCTAGTCTAGACCACGGGCCAGGGTGGCTCTGGGACCCTGACTGGGAAGGCGTCCACGCGAGGCAACTCTCTTAGAGTGAAGTGTGACATTCCTAATCCCTTGTCCCCAGTAACAACTATTTCTCTGTCCCAGCCTGAGCCAAGGTGAGCTCCTGAGACCACAGGGCAACACTCCCGCTAATGAAACAACTGGGGGACAGCGTCCCAGAGCCCCACGGTTCTCCTCATGGGTGTGGTGGGGTGCAACGCAGCAAAGTGTCACTGGGGGACCCCATTCAGACTGGAGGTATCTGCAGTGGGTACAGTGGGTCTAATGCTAGAAAGGGTGGCCCCTGCTGGAGTCCACCCTGCCTTCTTGCTGGGTCCCTTGGTCCTGTCATCCATGTCCCCAGCCCCAGAGGGTATCATGAGTCTAATTCCTGGCCTCATATGGCTAAGACTCTGATGGATAAATATAAATACTCTGGACACTTGGTCCCTGTCCCACCACAGACACCAGAGGATGTCAACGCAGCTCTTAGGTAAATGCCAAACTCCCAAGGAAGCCGCGGAGGCCCTGCTGGGTGCTCTACCTGCAGAGGTGGGGCCTGGGAACCAGGAAGATGGAGAAGAAGAATCGCACTGGGGGACACTGACTTGATCCCTCAGAGCCGATTGGGACACCTGGAAAGGGAAGTGGCTGTCCAAGAGGCCAGCAAACACAAGGTCAGACATATATATATATATATATTTTTTTTTTTTTTTCTTGTAACAATCAGTATAAAGTCAAAAAACAGGCTAATCCTGTTTTTGACTCAGTCCCACCAGGAACTGATGAGGTCAGCAACTGTAGAGAGAGAGGAGAGGGAAAAATTTTTAGTCACTTAGAAATGCAAAAGATTTTACTTAAAAAGGAAAGAATGGGGGGGCAGGAACTGAGGAGCATGTTGGTGGGGCTGGAGGCACGGGGCCCCTTTCCTCCTCCCTTTTTTCTTCTTATCAACCACAGACAGATGCTAAGAACCTGGCTTCAGGTGGCTAAAAACCTAAAAATGAAGAAGCCTGCTGTTCTTAGGCAGCAACAAGTCCCAGGGGAGAAGGAAACCTGAAGCTTTAAGTCCTGAGCAGATGCCAGGCGTGGGATCAATCGGTGATGGACCTCAATTACTTACATCATTTAGGAACAGATCGCCAGGTATCTGGGGAAATAAAGGGTAATCCAGTAAAATATATGCACATATATTTAAATATAATATGAAATAGGTAAATGTATATACATTTTCCTTAATGTGTTTCCATTGAAATTCAAAAATCATGCATTAGTTTATATACCAAAAAATTCTACAACCAAAAAAAGTTTAGCTGGGTCCAGTGGTGCACGCTTGTAATCCCAGTGACTTGGGTGGCTGAGGCACAAGGATCACAAGTTCCAGGCCAGCCTCAGCAACTTAGCAAGACCCTAAACAACTTAGTGAGACACTGTCTCAAAATAAAAATTAAAAATAAATAAAAAGGGATGGGGACATAGTTCAGTGAAAAAAAATACTACTAAATTCAATTCCTAGTACAAAAAAAAAAAAATTAAAGGACACCGATTGGTTTTTGATCCTACAGTATAGGTTCTAACTAAACTTTAACATGTATGACAACACAATGGTTCTCAAAAATTCACGGACTTCCTATTGGAGCATAGATTATAGTTCTACTTGGGGATCCTGCTAAATTTAAACACTGCCCCTATAATATTGAGAAGGCAACTAAATATTAATGTTTTATAAAAGAATATGCATCACCATAACCATAGTTTTGCCTAATTTCCTACAGTCATATATTCATTGCTGTGAAATATTCTGTCGGTCCTGGATGCTCTGACACAATGAATAAATTAAAATTAGCACCAGGGGTGTGGCTCACCGGAGGCGTGCTTGCCTAGCATGGCTGAAGACCTAGGTTCCATCCCTAGCAACAAAAAGTAATAAATAAATAAAAGTAAATTTTTGGCCCTTATCAACAGGCTGAAAAATAGAGGGCCCATGAACTCATAATGAAGACAGTTCATAGGGCAAATGTGACTGGAAATGGGGCCCTGCAAGATTAAAACTTATTATATGAAAACTCATTAACAACTGGGTAATTATCCCAGGGATTCTCCACTGAACAGTACAACTTTGTCCTCGATTCTGGAAATGGGGTGACTTAAAATGGATTGCCACAACCTTATCATGTCAGTCCCATCCATTGGGCCCCTGACACCTGACACTGTTAAAATGGCAAATCCCCGTCAATCAATGGCGGCTGGCTCTTAGGCTCTTGTACAGTTCCCACCCCGCTCTCTTCACCCTGTCCACTGCAGGGTACCTCCTTACCCTATAAGGGCATTGCAAAGGCTCCTCAAAGGAGAAGGACACCCATGGGAAGAGCCTGGGGGTGCTGCCTCCCCCAAATCTTTCTAGCTCCCCCTCCGACAGCCCAGAAGTGAACCAGCTGGTAAAGCAAACTAGTGTCAGAATCTCAGCTCAAATCAAGGTAGAGAAGTGTTCAACTCACTCTCAGGACCCACACACCAGGACACCCCCCCCCCATCGCAGGCCAGAATCCTGCCGAAGGGGGCTTCACCTGCCTCTCGCCTGCTCTGCAAAGTGCCTGCGATGGAATGTCACGAAATGCCAGAACCAGACGAAGGCATCACAAAACACGCTGCAGACACACTCTTTCCTTATGAAGAGACCGAAATCCTCCAAGAACACC